CGACGAGTTTGTGAAGTAGCTACATCGACTGAGATGATTAGGACATGTGTAGTATATGCATCCCTAGTCATCGCCTTCCTCGACGGGGAATGTTAGCTGACATAGGATGGATCAGGTTGGAAAAGAGAGAACTAGTGGTGATCAAGCCAAAACATGGCTTCATCAGTCAATGAAATCCACAACAGTCAGTTTAAGCCAACCAACCACAAAGGGAGGTGTAGACTGCCTGACTGGTTGGGCTCCTAGGGAACCATTGACGGTTGGATACGATTCTTGATATGATTCGAAATCCTACATGTCAATGTCTGGTGGAGATTCATTCACTCTTTGTGTTTTCCCGGTCATATCCAATAAAACTCTACTGCTCTTCTTCCATATTACTCTTCTTTTTCCCTCACTTTGTTTATGATTATTATCTGTCTTTTGAACTTCTCCTTACTACCTTCTCTTCTTTTATGTTTGAACTGCTGCATATTATTATTATTATTATATCTGTGCAGCGTTCTACGTTAAAATCAGTCAGGCAATCAAGTATGAATGTAATATTTATTCCCATGAATTAGCTAGAACATTGTGTTATTTACCTCTAACCACTATAAGTTGACACTCTAAGAGAGAGAATATCAAACACCCTGAAGAGAACATTCTTTGCACCTACAATAAAACTGATATTCTTCCGCCTCCTGATGTTCTCCAATAGCTCGAAAGATAAACTATCACATTTGAACACTTCTATGCATGTCTAACAATTCCCTTGCTCATGTTGAGCGAGGTGTATTAAAACTAAAACAGCTGAGGAACAATATCTCAAATGGCTCCAGAAAAGTTACAATTTGTCAATACTGAGTGATATGGCTGAACACATCATATTCAACATTAGCCACTAAATATCTAAGGCGAATTCATTTAAAGTTATCTTCAAGGTCAAAATAAGCCTCTTAAAAACGACATGTTTTTGTATACCTTGCATTGCTGAAACCTTAGTCCTTCATATGAAAACTCCTGATTCATGCACACAGAGGAGAGAGTTTTCCACCTACACTTCCAATATCAATTGTAAGTATTAGTTTGTTAATTAATACTTTCTCGCTCTTTTGGTATGACAATTAATAATACTATTCTTTAAACGAACACTTTATTCACTCTGGTCACCTGTTACGTAATAAGTGATGGTACTTGTTGCCAGGGTGGAAGAAACCAACCAAGAGCCGACTGCTCAACAAATTTGTTGGAGAAAATGGATATGCATTGATCAGGCATATGCCACTGAGGAGGCCGTCGAATGACATCACACACAATGCAGGCCATAGCTCGAGTAGAATCCCAATGGCATGGGACGAGAGAGTCATCGGTGCAAAAGGTGATAAAGAGGAGATCGTGTGGCGAGGAGGAAGAGATAAGAGATTATGGATAATCGTGGCCCCAAGCAGCTGAAGGGGACCACAGAAAATATAAAAAGAGGAGATGTGTTGTTGAAGCCCTATATTCCACTTGGAACCCAAGGGAATAATAATAATACTTGTTTCTATGCTATTTCATCAACACCCATTGTTTTTCTAACCGGCTTTTTTCTTATTACAACACAGCCTTTAGTGTAAACTTAATAATCTACACTGTCTTATTTACAATTTGATTTTTTTTCACCGCTTTGAAGTATTTTGATGATGTAAACAACATTCCCAATTCATTTATTTTTAACTTCTTTGGCTCTGTTTGACAGACTGAATGTACACACACATACAACAATAAGGATGTATAATGTCAGTTGAATTCGCCAGAAACAGTTGCTTCACTGAACTGTTTGTTCTTATAACCACTTTCTGCTTCACTTGTAAAAAAACAAAGCGAATTAACATTAACCTTTAATAAATTTGTCAATAACCAGGTAAGGAAATGTCAGTAACGCGTGATTTCACATTTGTTATTAGAGGGAGGCTAATTAGCTGGGCATTTATAAGACAAGATTAACCGACAGTCAAACATTTTAGTTAGTCTGGTTCGTCGTACATTATGGTAAAGTGCATATTATTGCGTTGAAATCACACAATTTTCATGACTGAGGTTGTTTCAGTCAGTGATGTTATGCTTTAGGAGTTAAAAGTAGAAAATTTTCGTACCTCACTAGGAAATTGTTGAATTAAGTTTTGTAAAACGGAGAATCTGATATTACTTGAGTTTTACCGCAATTATTTGCATACTGTCTCTCATATTGTGATATAACATAGTGAGTTATATTGATGTTAGGGCGTAGAGTATAAGATAAATAGAGCAAGTCATTAGATGAAATTGTGAAGCTACATCGATTGACATGGCTAGGATACTTGTTACTAAGGCGTAGACACCGCCTTCCTCGTCAAGAAATATTAGCTGATATAGGACTGGGTTAAAAAGAAAAGAGTTAACAGCGGTTAAATCAATACATGGCATCTTTCTGTGAGGTCTTTGAGGCAGTCATTGCAGGGGAGGTATACACTGTAAGGTTTTGTCCTCGAGACACTAAGAAACACTGACTTGAGACTGTTGGTAATATGGCTCAAAATCATTCTTAATTTATTTTTTATATAGCTTGACTCCACACAGTATTTTTGATACAAGTATGGAATTTTCAGCATGTGATACCGTTAGATCAAATTTCGCAGGCCGACCATTGATATCGGGTGAGCATCGGCAGGGGATCGAACTCCGGATGATGTGCATGGTCGGCGGGAATCCTGACTGCTGTGCTACCGACGCAAACAGAAGAGGAGATGCATTCACTCCTAATAATCTATCAGATCCACTAAGTCCTCATGTTTCTGCATGTAATTATTCTTTCTCAAGTACATTTTTATTCATTTGTGTACTCTATGAATTCTAGCGAGCTAAAGTGTGTACACTTCTGTGGAAATTCTTATGTTGAAATTCAATCAAAGGAGCAAAATATGTTGGCTGTACTCAACGTCAAGTCCGCAAACTTATTCTGGAACACTGTCCAGCTTGACTAGACAGTCAGAGGAGAAAAGAAGAAGACTGGCAGCTCCATCCTCGAATACCTACCTTGTCAACTCTGGACATCGAGTACCCCCCCCCCAGCATGAATGCTTCACAGGACTTCGGATTCGCTATCTGTACATAGTTGAGTCATTGGCTATTCGGGATGTGAAACTGGACCTCTGCATTCAAGAGCACCACATACATTTCCTCGCCCTACCGTGGCCAGAGTAACGTTCTCACTACAATTTTGCTTCCTTTTATTATGCAAGTTTACTATTATTATAATTATTATTCTCATCATCCTTATTTTATTATCACTCTATTACTGTTTATTAATAACACTGCATTTCCATACAGATTTTATAGAAACACTTTATCGTCTTTCCACTAGTTCCTGTCCACTAAACACATTTATATTGATATTCAAGTATTGGTTTGTAGGGATTTGGTTGATTGGTTACATGAGCTGTCATTGGTTAGAGAACCACTAGAAAACCTGGGAGTGCTGCACAGCTGTTTCGTCCCAGTTTGGGACTCTTCAGTAGTACGCACCCACCGGGGTTCGAAACCAGGACCTTCTGGTTACAAGGCGAGCTCGTAGACCATTGAGCCACTGGGACCCGATCCAATGGCCCATGAATTCTAGCTTCTGCCAATTCACGATATAGCGCAACAGCTAGCCAATGTCTTCGGCGAGTATTTTTCCTCACACCCGACTTGCTGCACCCTGCTGGTCACGACTTCCCATTTATATTGATTAGTCATTTTCTCAAAATTATTACATCATGCCAACTTGTGCCCTCTTTTCCTAATAACGTTGCGTTTTCATACATATTTTATAGAAACACTAATACTTGTCCACTCTACACAACTATTCTGATTACTCATTTTCACACACTTATTACATCATGCCAACTTGTGCCTTCTTTTTTCTAATTTCCAATTAGTCATCCCTTCTAGGCGGCACCTTACATTATGTAATATGTTTCCGAGGACAGATTTTACCAGTATCTGATTGGTCTTATGAATTCTTTATTAAAAATAACTACGATTGTACAGCAGCTTATGAAAAAATGAATCGTCGAAAAGGGAAAATTTTCTTCGCTGTTTACGTCTTTTTCTTACGAAACTCAATCAGTTAGTTAATATTGAGTAAAACCACTAAAGGTTCCAAGAGAGATACAAATTCCAAGTGAAAAAAAATGTTGACAATCACCCTGAAACAACTTGAATGTTTCAACAATACTGTCAGAATAAAAGACATACGACATTCTTTAGAATCTCGGATAATGTATTGTCGATTATTCTCCTATTTGAAGATTCTACACAAGGGGTAATTACCTTGAAATGGAACTCGCTAAAAATGTGGTGAGAACTGTCTGCAAGACAAAATTGTAGACAACAATTTACGCCAGTGTTTACGTACCAAATCGGAGTCATGAGAAAAAACAAGAACAAAGCTTAACCTTGAGGAACTCATCGACCAATCACAGCAGACTTTGCGTGGGTGGATAAGATTCGCAGATATATGGTCTGACCTTCAAAGAAACGGCAACAAAGAGATGACAGAATAACCTTCAGCAGGAAAACAACCAATCAGAAGACGTTACCTCTCTGCTAATAATAAGGAATAATAATGTACATAAAAATCTATAAATGTCTGTTGATTTTCTCAATAAATGATCTGCTGCCTGGCCTTTGTCTCCTGTCGTTACAAAAATCCTATATTATGTCAAACTCATTTTTTCAGAATGAAGTTATTATTATGACTAATAGTGGCATGACTGGTGGTACTTTAAACTGCTATATACAACCTACTATCAGATAGACCACTCAGGGATAATAATTGAGAAATATGTCAAGGAATCATGTAATTCTTCTGGTCTCCAAGTTGAGCACTCTATCATTGCAGACAAGAACTGCTATTTACAAAGTCTGATAGTGGTAAAAAAGCGAATTGTTAAAAACCAAAATTCACTACAGTGTATGAATAAAAATTAATATGCATGTTATGAACAGGAGAATACCTTGATACGCCACACCATGAGCGTCGGAGAAGCCACTTTTCGTACAGGTTCCCATGCAGGTTCTTTCTCAGCAGATTCCTCTGTAAATGAATAAGATTAAAAACCTTTAACTGTATTGTCGTCTTAATTTTTTTTAAATTCTTTATTTTCAAAATATTTAATGATAATTTGAAGATACTACTGACAATAAGTAGTTTGACCTCAAATACTGAGGTTTAAAAGCAAATATGTGTTAAAAAGAATAATTTCGATATTTGTTGTTATTATTATGTTTATATTTTTAAGAAGTCAGGCTTTTATTCTTTTGACCGTATTTCGTCCCATCCATGACTCGTTACTGAATGCACCTGTATCCAAGTGATTGATTTTTTCCCACTGGGACTCGAACCCAACAACTATTCTTTCAACAAGTAAGGACTTCCATATTATTAGAAGTTGATGATTTCAGGCAAATGATACAAGATATACTGGTTGAAATGGGGATAATATCTCTGGGAGGACCAGTTAATGCACGCGAGTCATTCATTGGATGATAATGGCCAATTTAATTATCGATTGTCTGGTGCAAATTGAACGACATCGAAAAATCTGTTTAATTCGTGTTTTGTGGTTATCTTAAATTGAATTTTCAGTATTATTTGTACTTATATATATATATATATATATATATATAGCGGAGATGTGAATCACAGGCAAGACAAAACAGAGCATTAAAAGTTAGAGATATAGTCACTACGACAAGTAAGTTGAACAGTTTACAACGAAGCTATTATCAATATGCTTTCACTACGAAACACCGTTCAGTATAACGCACACGTTGAATTATTCTAATTACATGCTCAGACATCGTCGAAGCATCTGCACAAGAAACTGACATGTCAACCTGAGACCGAGCACGTCAGCCTAATCGATCGACGGGAAAATCTAAAATTCAATTAAATAATTAATATTACTCGTTGCACAAGAGGTGGCTCTCATGGCCCAAATGATCTAGTGGATAACGCTTTGGCGTTTGAAACTATGGGCACTGGGTTCGAGCCTCGGTGGGAACATCATCATCACTCACTGAGGAATGCACGTACATCCAGTTGACGAGTCCCAAATAGGACGAAATGCGCATCCTGGATTCCACTGCTAGTCACCATCCAACAATTAAATTATCCTTTGTTACATTTATCAATATGTTCCAATGAAGTTTTAGACATTTTCTAGATCAAAAATTACGAGAAATTAATCAGTTGTGGCCCTTTTCAAATGGTCTTAAACCTAATTCCTTTCAAATATTAGGTGGTTAATTTCACTTTCAGATGCAAGTGCGACTTACGTGAACTGGTTAGATGGCACTGAAGTTGAAACCAAATCGAATGTTAAATACTTTGGACTGTGTATTTCCTCTTATCCTGATAATTCCTGGTCTTCCCCCCTCCCTAATCATGTTAGCTTCCAGAAGGATATTTCGTTTGACGTTCTATGTAAGCAAGTAAGGATGATCTGGTATCATTCTGTCTCTGCTGTTACAGTTTGTTAATATATGTATTCTGCCTGTACATCTTTACTTTTCCCCCTTAATTTTTCCTGGGCTACTTAAGAAAGACTTTGTTATACTGTATAGGGCACTAAAATTCGTCAGTATGGCCATTGGGGTATTGCTAAACCAACTCGTTAATAATATTGTAGATGGATATTATCTAGTTGGGCGCTGAGCATCCTGTCTATACGCAACTATCTCCTTGCGTGTCGTCAGGTAGGTAGGACCAGAAGCAACTATAGAAGACTGTATGCTCAGATGACTAATTGCAAAAACTCTATAATACCTTATCTGGCAGGTACACATTTTGTGTGATGAGAATAGTGTAAGATAGGAAGTTACCAACTTAGTGAGGAACTCTAACTTTTTTTTTATTAAAGCTTGATGCCACACAGTATTTTTGGTACAAGTATGGAATTTTCACCATATGATATCGGCAGCCTAAATTTAGCAGGCCGACCAATTGATATCAGGTGTGCGTCGGCAGGGGATTGAACCCCGGACCATGTGCATGGTCGGCAAGAGTCTCAACCTCTGTGCCACCGACGCATCGTTGGTCTTCGTTCCCATTATTGCATCATCGTTAATAGTTTCACTTGATTTAATTTTATATTCATATTCTTATTGAACAATACTATTAATGTAAATTATTATTAATGTAAATGCCCTATATTAATTATTGCCCATGTAGTAAGAAAATTAGATGCCATTATTATTATGAAATTATAGACAAACTTTAATACGCAAACTTTAGGATTAAATGGGTCCATTGTTATTTATGCGTTACTTCTCATCTGAGTAGAGAAGACGAGACACCAGTCCTGAAATCTATTGATGACCATTAGACCTTGAAACAAACCGAAATTTTTCCTCAATATCAATTGCTAACCTTTCTAGATATGAATTACTGCACACTGTATAAGCCAGTGTGAATCATGGTATCTAATGTTATCTATGGAGAAGTATTTTCAGAAAATTGGTTGGAGGATTTCATCATGAGCTGACATCAGTTAGAGAACCATTGGAAAACTAGCCAGGGAGTACTGGACAACTGTTTTATCCTAGTTTGGGACTCTTCAACAGTCAGTACGCACCCACCGTCAGGGTTTGAACCAAGGACTTTCTAGTTAAAAGGCCAACCAGCCTCTAGACCATTAAGGCACTGGGACCCGATCCGATAGCCAATGAATTCTAACTTCTGCCAATTCATGACATAGCGCGATCACTTCGCAATGTCTTCTTCGATGAGTTACTGCCTCACCTACAACCTGCTGTACCCTACTAGTCACGGCTTCCCACTAGAACCCCGGGGGGTTCGAACGCCGGAGGGTGCGTACTGTGAAGAGTCCCAGGCTAGGAAGAAACAGCCGTCCAGTACTCCCTGTCTGGTTTTCCAATAGTTTTCTAACTGATATCAGTACATGATGAAATCCTCCAACCAACCAAACAAAATCCCTACAAAATCAATACTTGAAAATTTTGAGAAAAATTTGGATAGTATATTTGGAAGATGAAGTTTACGTGAAAAATGTGATATATCTGTGGCATACATACGCAATAGCTCGAATAAATAACCCAACTGTGAAAATGTGGCAGACTACTAACCTTATCTGTCGCAAAACACTTAATTGATATGACTGATACCATGGACACAGTGAAATATACTAGGGCGATGGTTACGCGTAAAGTTAAAGCCACTCCCTCCCACTTGTGTGTGTATGCAAAACTATTTTATTACTCTTAAACTACCTTGGTAATCCTTATCTAATTTGATAACCAATCATAGTGTTGATTATTCTTATTCTTAAACCCTTTTTGTCACTTTGTGTATTTTAATTGATAGCGGTCACCCACTGGATAGAAGTAGTGCCTTCAAAGTGCCTTATCTATTGCATTCCATCGAACAACCTTTCGAACGGAATTCCAATCTGCCTGCTAACACATATAGCCGAAGCTATGGGAATTAATTCGAGAGAATAGTCCTAGTCTTTGCATATAACAAAAGAAGTTTCTACGAGTTTGACAACGGATTGATATCACTTAGAGAACTACTGAAATCCAGGGAGTACTGGACAACTGTTTCACCCTAGTTTGAGGACCATCGGCAGGAAGCACCAACCGACAGAGTTCGAACCCAGGACCTTCCGGTCACAAGCAAGCAAGTAAGCTCGTATACCACTCAGCCGCTGGGACCCGATACAATGGCCCATGAATTCTAACTTCGACCAATTCGTGGTTTTAGCGCGACCACCAACCAATGTCATCTGCAGGACATCCATCCTCGCACTTGACTGAATGGACCTCACTGGTCACGACTTCTCACTAGAACTGCAGGAAACTCCCAAACTTGGATGAAACAGCTGTCTAGTACTCCAGTGCTGGTTTTCAATGGTTCTCTGACTTATATCAATCTGTGACCAAACTCATAAAAACAAAACTACTCCTTACAAACCAACTCTTGAAAAGAAGTTTCTTCTACCTCCCTTGCTTGCCTAGGTAAATTCCCCATCCAGACATTCATGAAAACAGAATACATTGGTTCAACGAAGAGTCTCCTTTCGGTGAATTCATTTTTTTAAAATTCTTTATAACATTTGTAATTTTTAGAACTCTGACGTAATTCCATATTTTCCTTTGTTTCTATGTACATCCTAAACATAACTCACTCATGAAACTAATCGTCTTATTACGTAACTGCATTACGCTTATTCAAGTTCTTTTATGTGTTATTAAATGTGTTTTTTCACAACACATCACCACTACCCTCTTACAAGTCTTTACCCTACCCCCTAGTTACAGTTTGATTACTCATCACATTTTTGAAATGTCTTGAGAACAATAACCCAAACTTATCTTTATTCTTATCGGGTAAACCTAATGTACACACACACATACAAAAATAAGTATATATAACTGCAGTTGTACCGCTAAGTGAATGAAATCGCCGCTGAAGAAAGAGACTCTTCGCTGAACTACGTGTTTTGTTTTCATTAAATTCTGCTTACGTAAAAACCTCCAACCCTTTCTTATTTTCCGTTTCCTTCGTGTTTTAATGATATTTATTTAAGCTCTGATTATCTGTCACTTCACCTTGAGTATTACGCAACTTTTGCGATTTGACCTAATTTATTTATTCATTGAATTGTCTACATATGCACAAACATATTACTACCTTCGTTATTCTTATCGCCACGTGCATAAACCTTAATATCATTATTATTTTTGTTATCATTATAATCATCGTTATTACTGACGTTCAAAACACTTACCACACTATTATTACTATAATTTGATTGACAAACTCACCGTCATTGGTTAAATTTTGTCTTATATATAAATCTATTAGGAGTTGATCACGGATTGATATCAGTTAGAGAACCATTGAAAACCAGGGAGTACTGGACAGCTGCTGTTTCATCCTAGTTTGGGAATCATCGGCAGTACGCACCCACCACAGGGGAGTCGAACCCAGGACCTTCCGGTTACAAGGCCAGCAAGCTCGTATACCATTCAGCCACTGGGAACCGATTCAATGGCTCATGAATTCTAACTTCTACCAATTCGTGATTTTAGCGCGACCCCAACTATTGTCGTTGGTGGGACATCCATCCACACACGTGACTTCTAATTGGACCTCACTGGTCACGACTTCTCACTAGAACTCCAGTGATCAACTCGTAAAACATAACTAATCCTTACAAACCAAACTATAGAAAATTATTCTGATGCTCGCTAGTGACTTGCTATAGGTTGGAGCTTCCTGGAGTTCTAGTGAGAAGTCGTGACCGGTGAGGTCCAATTAGAAGTCACGTGTGTGAATGGATGTCCTGCCGATGACATTGGTTGGTGGTCGCGTTAAAACCACTAATTGGTCGGAGTTAGAATTCATGGGCCATCGGATCGGATCACAGTGCCTGAGTGGTATACGAGCTTGCTTGATTGCTTGTGACCGGAAGGTCCTGGGTTCGGACCCTGTCGGTTGGTGCATACTGCCGATGATTCTCAAACTAGGATGAAACAGCAGCTGTCCAGTACTCCCTGGTTTTCAATGGTTCTCTAACTGATATCAGTCCGTGATCAACTCGTAAAACATAACTAATCCTTACAAACCAAACTATAGAAAATAGAAATCTATGTAAATCAGAGTAAGGCCCGAAGAAGATCTACTTGAAAACAGCAATATCATTCGCTTATTACATGTCTTGTTCTAATATTTTAATTGACCTTTACTTTTCATATACAGTAACTTGACCGGTGCATATGTGTGTGTGTGTGTGCGTGATCAGATTGTTTTGCGAAAATGCATCATACAATATTTTTTAGAAAAACTTGATTTCCAAATTACTCTATCCTACTTGAGGTAGGACAGATATTCAAAGAAGCATGAGAATATTAAAAAGGGTCCCTACTCCCAAGAATAACCCTAAGTTCCTGATAGGAATGTCATTGCTTACTGAGGCTGACGTCCCTCAAGGCGCCGCTCTTTCTCCTTTTCTGTTTTCTTTCTGCTCGCATAAACTGCCTCACTCTGATGGTGAAATGAAATTTGTTAAGTATGCGGATGACCTAACTATTTCAATGCCTGTTAACTCCTGGCTGGATTGCACTAAGATGAACAGCTTTCTATAGGGAGTCAGCAAATGGTTTTAGTCTAATGGTCTTAAACTAAATCCTTCCAAATGTCAGAATATTAATTTCAGTTTCCGTTGTAGGAGAAAGTTAAATGAAGCAGTTCATCATCCATATGACCGTTGTAAAATTGATGATATTGATGTAGAAACCAAGTCTGAAGTTAAGTATCTTGGACTGATTCTTTCTTATCATCTATCCTCGTCTTCCCATGTCTTAGCGATTTATAAAAAGACACTCCGTCTGACTTTTTACATTAAGAAGTTAAAGCACTCAGGCATAACTCAACCCCTCCTCCTCTTACAGTCACGCATCTTACCTATTCTTACTTATTGTTGTTCACCATTATTCCTTCCTGGGTTGCTTAAAAAAGACTATGTCATAATTCGTAGAAGTTTGAAGACTTTCAGTAGGGCAAGTGGCATCCCATTGGGCCAAATCGTTGACATCATTATTGATAGACATTTGATTTCAAGCAACCAATTTACTAACATCTATTTATTTTCAAGTATTGGTTTTGTAAGGATTTTGTTTGACTGGATGGAGGACTTCATCATTTACCGATATCAGTTAGAGAACTATTGGAAAACCAGCCAGGGAGTACTGGACAGCTGTTTCGTCCTAGTTTGAGGCTCTTCATAAGTACGCACCCGCCGGGTTTCGAAAGCAGGACCTTCTGGTTACAAGGCGAGCTTGTATACCATTGAGTCACTGGGACCCGATCCAATGGCCCATTTAGTCAGACTGTAAGTATCCACCGCAGTACACGCAGCTTTCACCTTGCATCTCCTCAGGTAAAACAGGAAGTCGATTCATCAAAAGACTTTATGCGCACATGTCTAAGTATAAAAATTCCACAATACCATATTTAGCGGCACGTATTTAATGTGATGAAAATAGTGTCAGGCACGAATCAACTAACTAACTAACCTTCTTCCCACTAGTAAATAAACAATTTTCTCCATCCTTATTCCAACAAGCTTTATTGTTATTATTCTTCTTATATTTTTAACTTCTCAATTATTTCCTCATATGCGTAAACATCCTTTAAGCCCTGTAATAATTTTTATTTTTTGTTCTTCCCTTCACCATGTAATACCAAGAGAAAATCAGATTTAATAATCTATAACATGCTAAAATATCCATACAGTATCGACAATACTGTTTGAAACAAACCCACTGTTATTATTACCGATAGAGTTATTATTCTCATTTTGTACTTGGCACATTTTTGACTTCCGAACGCGAATCGAATAACAAACTCGGTTTCCTCGATATTACAATGACCAGGAGAGATGATGCTACGATTCAGAGATCTATTTTTCGTAAACAGACATGGAGTGAACAATACCTTCATTTTACCAGTTTTGTTCCTATCCAGTATAAACGTTCCCTAGTGAAATGTTTGTTCTCAAGGGCCTGAAAAATATGCACGAGTGACACAGTGATGGATGAGTTTCAACATATACATTCAGTTTTATTAGCTAATGGTTATCCGGAAAACTTTATCACTTGTCACAGTAAAGAAAGACCACATCTCGAAAAGACAGCTTCGGTACCAAAGAAAGCTATCTTTATTAACCTACCATTCAAGGGTGACCAGATTATGCAGTTGACAGCTCAAAGACTTCGGTCAGCCATCAAACGCACATTCTACGCCGCCACATCTCTTTTTCTCACTTGCCGAACATTTTCGATCCCTGTACCTACGATTAAAGGACGAAATTCTGTGGACTCTACTTCAAACTGTATCTACAAGTTCACCTGCAGCTGCGGTGACACCTATATAGGTAGAACCAACAGAATGTTCCAGTGTCGTCGGAAAGAACATGTTCCAAAATGGCTACTAAATCATATAGAAAATCCCAATGCGATTAATCTGAATAGAAATCCAGCATCATCCATTGCAAAACACTTATTAATGTCAGGTCACAAAATCAATATTAATGACTGTTTCACAATTATTTCACATAACTCTAATTCAAGTTGGTTATTAAAGGTGATGGAAGCACTTTTGGGGATTAATCACATACATCCTAAACTATGTGTACAAAACGCAATAGACTTCAACCTTCGCCTACCCTGGACTACTTGACCTATCTAAATATGATTGGTCATCAGTATGTAATTTTGTTTTTTATATAACTGAGTAATTGTCATGAACTTTATTTTATTATTGTTAACCATGTTAGTTGTAAAGCGGTTGTAAAGAAACTACGAAATGATATCATCTCGCGAAATTTGTCTTCTTAATGCCTTATTCAAATTTATCAAAGGGACTAATTGTTTTAATTTATTCCTACTGTAAATGTGGACAAATTTCTGTGGTTAATTTTAAATATATTTTGAGTAAATTAGATGCAATCATTGTTACAAATGCTGGGAATTCCCTGCTGTATTATAAGTACTACTTTTGGATTAAATCAGATTATTATTATTATTAATCATCTGAATAACCATCATTTAGGTTCATCAGTTAGGGTTAAAATATAGGATTGGAATTAGGATTTGGTTTTGTATGACTTTTCCAGATTAAATGTACTCTATTCAAATGCTGAACAGCATTCATTCTCCATCATTACCTATCCTAACTCTGATTGGATATATTCAAGGTCAATGAGTGGATCATTCGCATGAACCACAGCTGTGATTTTTACCTACAATGATTCATAAACTGACAGAAGTCTAACCACTTTTACCCAGTTATTAAGATAAACAATAATTTAGGGGGCGTAGAATATAATCGATGTAACTAAGGTCAACAAACAGCATTCAGTTCCAGGGCGTGGCACAGCATGATTACGGCTGCCTGTAAGATGTCTTAACCCAACGACTAACAATTTACTACAAATAAACAAAACTACTAGTCATTTGTTCAATGTACAATGGAATAAACATTAAAACAACAAAACTCTAATCATTTTAAGTATAATTTTCTACTCACTTTTAACAGCTCTTTCAACATCAGAACCGAATAGAGCAAGATTAGTGTCTTTCCAGTTATATTGATTTGCAGCTATTAAACCAGTCATAGTGTGTGTGTAAGCAATTTGAAGTAACAATAGTGGTGATCACGATAACAATAAATAATAACAATAACAGTTGAAGAATATTGAATTAAATAGCTTTCATTAACCAATAAAAATTTGTTGTTATTGTCTTTATCGATCAGATTAGACAAAGACGTATGAACCAATAGCAAATAAATTGGCCAGTTTGAATGAAATATGTGTATGGACTTCATTGAATGTGTAGTCTGAATGAATATAAATGGCTAAAATACTCTAATACTAATTCGACCAATTAAAAGATACACATTCCATAAAGGTGATTCATACAAAGCGCCCATACAAATACACAATAAACAGCACAATGAATCGCTTGTAGATCACATGTTTCTTAATTGAATCATGGTATGTAGAGATTTAGGCGTAGGTGGCGTCAGAGAGAGAGAAAAAAGATACTTTACAGACGGTTAACATTTTATGTGACTACAGCTCTAACAAGAATTTCTTACTACCAGTGTCTATATCTTATTTGAAAGAGGGAAAAGAACAAGAAGTTCAGCAAAGATATCAGTCTTTTCGGCGATTCCATTCTCAAAAGCTGTACAATCGCACTAATATACATTAGTTTACATGGATACAATTATTATTTATTTAATTCCACATAGTAACGAAGGCGATAATAATTTTCAACTTGATATGAAAGTTTGAAGGTACGAATATAGATTATAAGGGACTTAAAGACAAGATTGCATAGGATTAGAAAACAGTTACAACGTATGCAAAATTAATACTTGATAACTGGAGAAATAATTTTAAAAGGTGATAATTATTTACAACTTGATATGAATTACAAGAGGCTTAGAAACAAAAGTTACGCAGGGATAGAACGAATTACAGGTGTGAACAAAATCAGCATGGAAACAAAGTGAAATCAAAATTTTCAACTTGAAATGTGAGTTAGGACGTGTAAATCTAAATTACAAGAGGCAAAGAAACAAAAAATTACATAAATATATCAATTATATAAATACGATTGTGCAGCTTTTGAGAATGAAATCGCCAAAAAGATATCTTTGCTGAACTTCTTGTTCTTTTCCCTCTAATGTCCTGATGGGTATTTTATTTTTATATTTATATTTTTAATTTATTTTATTATAGCTTGATTCCACACAGTATTTTGGTACAAGTATGAAATTTTCAGCATGTGATATCGGTAGCCCAAATTTAGCAGGCCGACCATAGATATCAGGTGTGCGTCGGCGGGGGATCGAACCTCGGGCCATGTGCATGGTCGGCGAGAGTCCTAACCGCTGTACCACCGACGCACACGATTATTTGAAAGAGTTACTAACAATGTTTAGATTTGAGGGCGAGCATTTCCCGCAGATTGATGGTGTGGCTCTATGGGATGCCCCTTAGGTTCATACATGTCGCATGTCGAGAACTTAGGTGAGGATGCAATTGGAAAAGTTTATTTTTATAAGAAATACATGGATGACATAATAGTAGTCATTTGTGATAAATCGACAGATGCCATAGGAATCCTTAACCAGATCAATAAAGTACAAAACAGTATATCGTTAACATACATGAAAGAGAATAATGATTGCTTGCCATTTTTAGATGTACTCATAACCCACCGACATGATGGGTTAATAAGACGATCTTTCCACAGAAAGTCAACATGGACGGCATCTAAAAGTTGTGGATTAGGTGCTGACTGAGACACATTCAGCATACATTTACAGCCAGCAGCATTGAAGAAGAGAAAATATTGTCAGATAACAACTATCCGTTGAAATTCATTAAGCTATACAAGAGTGTCAGACAAACAGCTCTGCAGATCCAATCAGCTCCCAAGAAGGATGTTTACATATCCTTGCGGTCCAGGGTTGGTCAACGAAGTCTGGTCACTAAACAAAGACTCAATGAGGCAATTAATAGAACTCACTATGCAGCCAAATTTATTTTCACCGAAAAAATGAGATCTATGCTGTCCTAAAACTCTTACAGCATCCAAACGATAGTGTCATATCCCATTGTGTTTATCGATTTACATGTATGTCTGGACAAACTTACATAAGGAGAACCCATCGGTCTGTGTAGGTTAGGGCTGCAGAACATATTCCAAAGTGATAGCAACAACACATAAAACCACCGGATACAACTAATCCTGTAAACGGATGTGGCCAACATCATGTATAGCGAAGTACATCATAGAGATGGATTACAATATTGATGACAGTAATACCTTTAACCAAATATAAAACAAGGTTGGGTTACATACTCAAATTCGTTGAAGCCTTGGCCATAAAAAGGCTTAAACTTATCTCATGTGTTCAAAAATAGTTTGTCATTACTTTGAACCTACCTTGGTAATCCAGTTTAGAACCAACGTCTAATTTTATTATTATTATTATTCCCTTGAGTTCCGAGTGGAACATACGTCTTCAACAATACACCTACACTTCCCTCTATTTTCTGCTGTCCTCTTCAGATAGGTCCACAATTACCCATAATCTCTCATCTCATCCTCCTCCTCGCCACCACATCTCCTCCATGTCACCTTCACAACGACGACAGACTCGTCGCTTCCCACTGTAATGTAACTCGACGGCCTCCTCAGTGGCGTATGCCCGATCAATGCGTCTCCATTTTCTCCTACATATTTGTTGGGCCATCGGCTCTTGATTGGTTTGTCCCACTGAAGAGTTTCTTGTTGATGATTCTTTGTGGTTGGCCTGCTGTCCATTTGATCTTCAGTATGGAGCCAGCCAGCGAAGGTGGCAGCTGTTGATAAAATACTGTAACTTGTTGGAAATGCTTTCCGTGACGCGCAGTGAAAGTTCCTGTGCCTTATAGGAGAACCGACTGACTTCACATTTTTACTGAAAATCCGAATCTTGTCTCTTACTGTAGCTGAGTGCTGAATATTTCCAAACTGGTTTCAGGTTGATGAAGGCGTATTTTACCTTTCTGATTCTGCCTAGCTTTGACATCTTCATCGGTTCGGCCGCCTGTAGCTGAAACGATGCTTCCTAACCAGATAAGTGAAGGAAGTAACTAGAAAATGTTACTCAATAAATATGGGAATTCAGACTTTATGAACACGTTGTGTAGGGTTTGTTAGTCACCACAGTTACTAATGGCAACAGGTATAACTGACGATAACATCGGTAACTTGACACTTCAGATATTATCAGATTCTAAAATGTGAGAATATTAGTTCAGTGTAGGACTAATAAAGAAAATCATTTACAGATAGAAACACACTGAACAGTATCAGCGTGTGTATTAACATTTCTAATATGAGTCATGTTTACATAGTTACAACAAAAACAATAAACATCATAACATCACGCCATAACAAAGATACAATTGGAGTGTTAAGTGGTGGGTGTTTACACAAGAGTAGTTGACATATCACATGAGTGTGAAATTATTATTCATGGTTAATAGTGTGTGGAGATGCCATCTGATGCCATCGTAGGCTGATTGTCATACTGACTGCGTCATTAAAGCACAGAATTGATTAAATCATCTTCTAACGACATTACCAAATACCATCGGTAAAAAGCAGTATCATTAATCAAAAGTCAACATTCAAGTCACGAAAATAAAAACAGAAATGTAATATAGTTGCCTCCAGAAGATGCGAATCAGCTTCTATACAGTCTCTGATAAAAAAATCTTCATCTTGACTTCACCAAGCTTAATAGAATAGCACTGTGGTAATACGTAACCCTATATTAATTTCTTTATTCGTTACATCACACAGTGAAACAGTATTGCTATTTACTGGATTATGAAGTTTCAAACACAGTTTATCAGTGTTCATAATCATACCAATCAATTATAACCACACGACTTCGAAACTTGAGTTCTATAGATTTTCCCTTATTCTTTTCTATTCGCAGTAGGAGGAGTAGAACTTTCCAGATATGCATGTAGACAGGTGTTGAAACATTTCTATTACACGTATTCTCTTCAGATGATTCCATAAATAAAGCTTCTGTTGTCAATTAACAATAATGATAATAATAATATTAATCACAACATGCATGTCAAACATGCACAGAATAATGACAACACCAACAATAGGGTATTTAAATCATCAGTGGCATCTCCAAGTACGTTGGTGGCTAAGTGGTAGAATGCTCGCCAACCACGCAGGTGGTTCAGGGTTCACTCCCCGTCCACCGATGCACTCCTCCACCTTACTAAGCCAATAACAATACTAGTAAAGAGGGGAAGTTAGACATGACGCTAGCGACTCCATTCCGTAAAAGTAAATACCACTACTAGCGAAACTTCAAAGCTCCTGCTTGAAGCCCTGTTTTCCACAGGAAATTTAAGGGAAAAAGTACCTCCATACAAAGAAGGAACTTCAGAAACCACCTTACGGAGTATTCTTGACAATGCAAGAATAAGGAAAGTGACTGGCATTGAAACTGCCTGCAAACTTAATTTGAAACAAGCTTTGTCGGTTAAACGATCTCGCCAGTGGAGCCAGTTAAACAAAACAATTTAGTTCATCTAATACCCTGTCTGCGATGATTGCCAGGTCAAATACATAGGTCAAACTAGTAGAACAGGGCAGTCAATCAGACTAGCCGAGCATAAAAACCTAACAGCAAAATCTAGATTAGTTGATTCGAATAAGATTAGGAATCTAGAGAATAGTTCAGCTAAAGCACTACATCACATGCAATTAAATACAACCATATAATAGGAGGATAGGATAACATGACCGATCTAAAATCTAACTGATGTAAGAGGATGGAGGGAGAGATTGATAAGGCAAGGTTTATTAATCAAATAAACTGCAAACACGTGCAATAGGAATGATTGAACACTTGTCTACCCAGACATCTGCGAAATTCTACTACCCCTATGACGACAAATAGGAAAGAAAAAAGAAAAAAACTATAAAACGGAAGTTTCGAAGTCGTGTGGTTATAATTGATTGGTATGATTATGAACATTGATAAACTGTGTTTGAAACTTTGTCATCCAGAGAATAATACTCGAATTAGTTCCTTCACTGTCTAGGGGTCCTAGCTGATTTTTAATTCATGAAAAATAATGGACACGGAACAAAGAGTACTCTTTTCGATAAACTCATCATCAGGTTCTACAATTATATATACATTAAAATGAATGAATTAGTCTTATGAACGACATTAATGTTTAAATAACATCAAATCAATAATATTGATAAATTACAGCTGAAAAGCATCAACATAAAATAAACTGAATATCAGAAGAATTAGGAAAGGTAATAGTACAAATTCATGAGTTTATAGTCTCTACTGAGGGCCAGGGCAGTAATAGGGGATGGACTTGTTTCTTTTGGACACAGAGCACTGGTTGTTTGAGGCGAATTGCAATAGCCTCTGCTGTTTGGAGCAAGCGGTGCTTC